GGGGGGGGGGGGATGTTCAGATACCCTTTTTAAATGAAACAGTAAATGTCCTTTCTTAGAAAAATAAGGTCAGCAGTCCATGGTCAATACCTAAAGTATTCTTTAAAATATTTTACTATTAAGTTCACTGGTTAGGGGAAACTTTTTCCCCCTGAAAGTACCACTTTTAAGTTTTGAGGTATACTTAATGCCCGTTAGGTCCAGGATTTTCTAAGTCCATGCTCCATATCCATACACTCATAATTAATTTCTAAACTTCACTTCTGTATCCTTAGCCCTTCTTTATTCAGAAAGCCTTTCATTTTGCCCTAGGGGATGCTCTGTTGCCAGGGTGAGGTAGGTCCATTGTTCACGTGCACCTCCCTCTTCGGTGACAGTGCATTTATGTCTCAGTGTTCAGAGGCTGGTCAATATTTTCCTGGAGGTGTCTAGGATGAGATAACTTGAAATTCTGAAGCACATGAAAGAGTTCATACATATATGATGAAATGTAGATCTGGCATTCAGGATAAGCTGGTGGTTGAGGAAGTAATGACATTAGAAGAGAGGTCAGTGAGACAACCCGGAGGCTCAGCTAGATGTCAGCAGTCAGGAGGTGAGGAGTTAGGAGTTGGGTGGTTGTGGGAAGGGTTCTTTAAGGACTCATGAAAATTCCTGGCCATGACCAAGACCACAGCATAAAAATCATAAGCACATGTAGTTCAGCCTCACCAAATTAGAGAGGACATGGCAAGAGATAATCCAGAACTTGCTGTTTTTCCTTATGTTCAGTTTTGGGCAGGATGGCCTGCTCTCTGGCTGGGGAGAGAGCCAACATCAGGGGAACCCCAGATGCTGGATGTCGGAGCAGGAAAGGTCTTCATGTGGCCCAGATAGCTGCTATGGCTTCTGCCATCACCCTGCCTTCTCCCTAGAGGAGACCTAGACACCTTGCTCTCACGGTGCAGCATGCCACGAAACCAAGGTGGCACTTAACCACTGATTTGCCATTTCCCTTTCTATTAACCAGGGTCTCCATAACACACTTAAGTTCATTAACACAGTAAATACTCAGTGAACCTCTGCAATGTGTAAGGTACTCTCTGGGTGCTGAGGACACAGCAGTGAACAGAAGCAGACAAAATCCTTGCCTTCATGGAGCTGACATTCTGTAACGGGGAGGAGATGGGCAGTAACATACTAAAATGAACACAGGTTGGGTGGTGAGAAGCACTAAGGGGAAAAGAGCAAAGCAGGGTAAGAGGGTGGATGTGATGGGCTGGCAGGCACTTCATTTTACATGGAGCAGAGGCGGCGGCGGCAGCCCGACACCCTTCGAACCCAAAGTTTTCCCAGACTTACATGGGTTCCTCGTTCAGAACAGACCTCACTTTATTGATAAAGTTCAGAGAATAATTTCACTTCACTAACCCTCTTCTTGCTTCCCCGCCCCCCGCTAAATCTAAGTAAATGGGCTTGAAATACCACAGGCTGAGGTGAGGTGAGGCTTTCTGGAGCACTGGCAGGGAGCAGGGAGGCCCAGGCAGCCCCTGCAGCTCTCCCCACATGCGCATCAGCCCCTCCCTGAAGTTTCTCCATTGTCCGGATGAGGAGCCTGGTGCTGATCCCCTGGAACCTTGGGCTCTCTTTTGCTTCCCTTTTGAGTTATAAAGTAGGGAGAGGCCTGAGAATCTGCCCCTTGCTAGTAACTGGTGGGAGCCCCTTCCAACCACTGCTGAGTCCTCCAGGCTTTGTAAAGTAACACACGACGTCTGCTAACCACACAAGCATTTACTGAGTTTAGCTCAAACCAGGACCTTTATGACAGCCTAATGCAGTGAGAGCTGGGATTCTGCCACTTTGCCTGTTATTTTCTGTGAGTCTGGCTGGGAGATCTGTGGTACCTATATATGATATGTACCAGGAGAGTTGCCTGACTGGTCCCTGGAAAAAATTCAGAGGGCAGCCATGTGTTAAGTCCCAGCATGGAGTCCCAGAGCAGCTGCTGAAGAACAGTCACGGGTCAGGGCCACCTACTGAAGCCTCTGCCCCCAACCCTCAGGCCCATTGTCTGTCCCACTAGGCTGACTGTGGGAATTCCATAAAGTTAAACATGAACACATTCAGACTTCCCTCCGGTGTTTTACATTCTTTGGGGAGTCATCTCCAGGGTCTTTCTATTGTGGACTCTGGCCTGTGCATTCTCTTTGCACACCAGCTGAGCACAGGTGTGTGGACACATGTTGTTGATGTGATAACTGGGCAGAGAGCAGCTGGGTGACAGCTAGGGTTCCCAGACTCTTAACTCATTAGTCCTAAGTCATACTGAGGGGAATCTTCAGCCCTTCTTAAAGGCAGGCAGCCTACAAATGCAGCCCCAAAGGTCTGCTGCTGCTGCTGCTGCTGCTGCTGCTTGGGGGTGCTCCCTCCCTTTCCTCTCTCTCCCTCCAGTGCTCTTGGCAAGTTTGGAAAGGGTGAGAGGGGTTGGGTAAGCTGATAAGTTCTGTTTGCAAAGATGAGTACTTTCCTGTCCTGAAATAACCTTCTACTAGGAAACTAGAATCACTTCATCATTTAATGTTTTTATAGTGAAATTCTGGGGGAAACATTTTTCTTAATTCTGACATGTCCTAGGAAAGTGATCTTTCCTTCAACCTTACCCAGAATTCCCGAGGTGGAACCCCGAGTGCCATGGGTCCTCCTTCTGGAGGCCAGCTTCCTGTGCCTGAAAACTGGGGAGACCTTTAGGGTGTGCACAGGAGAGCAGTGCTGACCAGGATGAAAATATGAGAACTGTTGGTGGAAAAAAGAGTCATTGGGGTTCCTTCCTTGACACCAGGAACTCTATGAAACCCAGCTGGCTCAGGTCGCCTTGCCTGCAGGAAGAGGGTTAACAAGTTGCTATTTGCGGGGTCTCTGCACCTTCTTTAAAAATTCTCAGACCTTAGGGAACAGAAGGATATGTTCCCAAATGTTTCTTTCTGGGTTTTATTTTCCAGGAGGTGCTTGGAGTAAAGTTGAGCTCAGTGGTGCCCGTGGCACCACAGGGTTCTCCAAGACAACTGATTGTGTGGCCTCTGGCTGACCGAAGTTGTCATTGTGGTCTGGGAAGGCCCTGGTGCTGGTTAGGTTTCGGGCTTTTCTTCTCGGGGTACCTTGGGCCCTGTGCCTTTTCTTAGTAGGGCTTCAGACAGTCCTGGGGACCCAGCCCACGGGAAAGGCAATCCCTGGTGCCGCTCTGCCCCAGGTGATTTACACCCTCATACTCGAGTGAACGTGTGACGCACACTTTTTTCCAGATGCCCTTCTCTCAGGCCTCCGTGCCAGGGAGCCACACTCCACCCCCGGGCCTTCCCTGAGCTGGCTGTCCTGGGTGTGAGCTTTTCATGCCAGATACAAGTTTATTCTCAAGTGGTGTGTGCTTAGCTCGACAGCGGAGGCCTTTGGTCCCTTTGCCTTTGACTCTCTCAGCTCTTCACCCTCAGGACAGGCTGGTCTTAAAGGCCCAAGGAACCCTAGCAGCAGGACAGACCGGGGGTGGAGATGACTGCACACCGTTAGCAGGTTTGAGTAATGGGTGATCTCTTTCTCCACCCAGGCTCCAGGTGTGTGATGGTGGCTGCACTCTGTCTTGTGGGTGTTAATGAAATCTTCAATGGTGGCTACTGTTCTCAAGCTGTTCTACAAAACTGGAGCACGCCGGTGAGTTTCAGTCAGAGGCTGAATAGGCCTTGGGAGAAGCAGCGTGTCCTGGGGTGGGGGCTGGCACAACAGTGTGGACCAGTGTGGCCGGACCCTCAGCCAGCATCACCTGGGAAGCCCAGGTCCCAGGGGTGGGGCTCAGCAGCCTGGGTGCTACACCTCTCCAGGGGGAGCTCTAAGTTGGGACATGCTGCTGTGGCGCTCTCAGGGTCAGGGGCGGGTTCTTCCTTACCTCCTCTAACCACTGCCTTCCAAGAGAAGGCTGCCCAGTGCTTGGTTGTCACCACAGGCATTCTAGGTCGGCTACACTCATGTAAGGCTAAGGCCAAGGCCATCAGCACCTCACCCAGCAGCAGCATTGAATGAGATACTCCACCTCAGGGAATTACGGACACGTGACACTTTCCCTAAAGCCCTTAAGCCTTTTTGGGAAATTAACCATTTGGGTGGAAATCTTTTTCAGATGTAGTATGTATGTTCCTCCTGACTTACTAATCCAATTACCTGAATATAAAGCAGCCCTTTCTTTATATACACACACACAGACACACACACATATTTCAGAGAGGAAGAGAGAGGGAAAGATAAACATCAATGATGAGAGAGTCATTGATCGACTGCCTCCTGCACACCCCCTGCTGGGGATTGAGCCCGAAACCTAGGCATGTGCACTGACCGGGAATCGATCTTCGATCTAGTGGATCATAGGTTGATGCTCAAGTGAGTCATGCTGGCCGGGGTAAGCAGCCCATTCTTGATGACTTGAGGACATTTTTAGGAGCCTCTTTGGGAACGGTGATTGCCTTGGGCATAACTGAATGGTACAGGATTCTCACTGAATTCTCCAGACTGCCGGGCTTTTCTAGTGGGTAATCATTTTGGTGGTTTGTCCATGTTTTTAGTCAGCGCCAGTTGTCACTTCTCAGTTCATCTATTTCCAGCAGTGAGTGTAGTCTTAAAACAATAGCATAGCATTCCCAAGAGGTGACCTGCCCGCCAGTCTCTGGAAAGCTTGGCCTAGAACAGCAGGATGCCAGGGACAGGCTGACAGTGGTTATGTCTCAGCCCAAATAAGGTGGCAAATTTCATCTCTACGAGGGGCCTCTACAGAAAAGATGAGTCAGAAAAAGGGTGAGATTCCTGCTAAGGACAGAGAACCAGGCAGTTCTGGCCAAGGAGGTCAATGCCACATTTTTGGTGCTTAAGCAATTTTGTGTTGAGAATAGTACCCTTTGGTCCCTGTTCAGAAGTACGGGCACTCAGTTCCTGCTGGGTTCTGTGGCCTGCACCGCCAGTCTCCCCCCCCC